ACCCATTGTACCCTTGGATTGATATTTCTATGGACTTTGTATTGGGATTTCCTAGGTCTCAAAGTGGGTGTGATTCTGTATTTGTGGTAGTTGATCGTATTTCTAAGATGGCTCATTTTATTCCATATCGTAAATCTGATGATGCTAAGCATGTTGCTGACTTGTTTATGTGAGAAATAGCTTGTTTGCATGGTTTGCCTTGTACTATTGTTTCTGATCAAGATGTGAAGTTTTTGAGTTATTTTTGGAAGACTTTATGGGGTAACCTAGGTACAAAGTTGTTGTTTTCTACAATAGCTCATCCTCAAACGGATGGACAAATAGAGGTGGTTAATAAAACACTTAGTTATTTGCTACGTGCATTGATCCAAAAGAATTTAAGGAATTAGGATTCTTGTTTGCCTATTGTTGAGTTTTCTTATAGACGTACTATGCATACTACCGAACATTCTCCATTTAAAGTTGTTTATGGCTTTAATCCACTAACCCCATTGGACTTATCTCCAATACCTATTTCTGAGTATCTTGATGTAGATGAAGCCAAGAAAGCCGATTTTGTGCATAATCTCAATGAGAAAGTACACATGAACATCTTGAAGAAGAATGAATATTTTGCTAGGATGGCGAATAAGGGCCGCAAGGAAGTAATCTTTGAACCCGGTGATTGGGTTTGGGTTCATGTTAGAAAGATTCAATTTCCTAATAAAATCAAATCAAAGCTTGATCCGCATGGTGCTGGTCCTTTTCAAGTCATCAAGCGTTTGAACAACAACGCTTATCAGCTTGATCTTCCTAGTGAGTATAATATGAGTACTACTTTTAACGTTTCTGATATTTCTCCTTTTGATTATGCAGATGCTAAAGCTATGAAAGATCTCGATTTGGGGACGAATCTTTCCGAGGAAGGGGGGATTGATGTGGAAATCCAAGGAAGACCAAGCAATGTTCGTGTTCAAGATCCGCTAGTTAATATTAGAGGTCCGACGACATGATCACGTCCAAAGAAAAGAGATGACATGCTATAATCATTGATCATAGATATTCGAGCTCAAGATGAATCCCAAAAGGTGGACAAAGCTCCTTGGATAATTTATTTAACCTTAGAAAGTGTTGAAGTTTATCTGTGCGTCCCGCAGCTCGTCGAGCCTGCAAGGAAAGTCAACAACAAGCATAGGAATTCCGTCAAGCTTTGTGTTTGCCAGCAACCAAGTCGACATTGGGTCGTCGAGCTTTGCGTCGGCCAGCAACTAAGTCGACGGCAGGATTTCCAATTTTTGGAAATTCCCTGTTTTGATTTGAATTTTCTTTTAATTTGTTTCATTTTATATATTTCAACCAAAATAGAATAAAATAGGTAATTTTTTGTCAAAATATATATATTAAAGGAAACAAATTAAAAATAAATTTAAATCAAAACGGAAAATTTCCAAAAATCAGAAATCCTGCCGTCGACTTAATTGCTGGCCGACGCAAAGCTTGACGACACCCTGTCGACTTGCTTGCTGGCCGACGCAAAGCTCGACGACCCACTGTCGACTTGGTTGCTGGCCAATGCAAAGCTTGACGGAATTCCTATGCTTATTGTCGACTTTCCTTGCCGCTCGACGAGTTGCCCCGACGCACAGATAAACTTCAACACTTTCCAAGGTTAAATAAATTATCCAAGGAACTTTGTCCACCTTTTGGGATTCTTCTTGAGCTCAATATCTATGATCAATGATTTTAGCATGCCATCTCTTTTCTTTGCACGTAATCTTGTCATCGGACCTCCAATATTAACTCACGGATCTTGAACACGAACATTGATTGGTCCTCCTTCGATTTCCACATCACCACTCCTCCTATATCACATGATCCTAGCATCTCTTCTTCTATTCCTGATCCAGATACACTTCCTTCTACATCTGTTAGAACTAGCACAAGAGCCAGGAGACCACCAGTTTGGATGGATAGTTATAGTACCTATTCTGTCCTTACTTCTCCACCTGATCATACCAAATTCACCAGTTCTTGTACATTTCCCTTTACACATCCTGGCCATTTGAAACATTCCTATATGACTTTTGTAGCTAACATTTCCAAAATTCCATAATCACATTCTTATGAACAGGCATGTATGCTTCCAGAATGGCAAGCAACAATGCAGCAGGAACTTGATGCTTTGAACAAGAATCAGACATGGGAGATCACTGATTTGCCTACTTGAAAGAAGCCAATCGGTCGCAAAAGGGAGTACAAGGTTAAGTATCATGCTGATGGCACCCTTGATAAGTACAAAGCTAGGTTGGTTGCCAAAGGATACAACCAAGTGGCTGGTGAAGACTATGTCGATTCCTTCTCACTTGTTGCTAAACTTATTACATTCAGGTTATTATTTGCCATTAATGCTGCTAGGAAATGGAATCTTCATCAACTTGATATAAACAATGCATTTTTTTGACCTTGTTTCATTGTTTAATGCAAATTGATGAAGAATAGGAGAATGATCAGAACAGGTTCGATTCAAATGTTGAATAGAGGAAACTTGAAAAAGCTCAATCCACCTCTCTGAAAATAGAACTCTATCCAACTTCTTCTGTATCCATCCCGTCTGCCTATTTTTTGCCATTTAAAATCAGATCCCAACGTTGGCAATTCCATAAGTTTGCAGTCATTGATGCAATTATTAAAATCCTACATGGTAAGATGATCCGATTCAGAAGATCCTTCATATTCCTCTACCGAACATATAACATTGAAATCACCACCTATCATCCATGCTTAGCCAACATGTTTCGTCAAAAAATCACACCTTTCTGACCATAAGATCTGTCGTTCTTATCTTGTTAATTTAGAATAGACAGCCAATATGAGTATTTTTTTTTTCCCTGCAAGTTAGGATGGGTCTTACTTCTACGTGCAAGAGTTGACTCGATTCTCCTATGACTTGAAAATCATGTTGTGGAAAAATTCAAAATTTACTATCATGTGATGAAAAAGCAAGATCAAACTTTAGTTTCCGACGTGTGCTATCTAACCTATCAAGATTCAACATCGGTTCTAGAATGACAAGAAAGGAAATTTTATGCATTCTAACCAAGTTTTTTTTATCTCCTTATTGAATCAATATTGTATGTTCCAGATTAATTGAGTTAACATTTGAAATAATCAAAGAAATTGGGTACCTGCCAAACGTGCTTTGTGGCGAGTTTGAACGCCATGATCAGATTAAATTGAGGCTTGCTTTTTAGTGGTTCCTTTCGGTCTACATCGCCTCTTCTTTTCCATGCGGACTTCTGGTTCACCATCTGAGGTAGTGACTAAAAGTTCCGGAGATTGTCCTCGCCAAAATTGTTCTAGATTGACATTTTTTCCATAATATTGTGGCAAGATTCTTGGAGCACTTCTTTGATTCAAATTATCATGATTAATTTTTTCCAAGTCCTTAGATTCATTCCCTGAAACATCCGGTAGGTGGTCATCATCTGCCGTTGGGACTTCGGTTCCAGTTTGCTCAAGATTTTCAATCAAAGCTGGTTCCTTGTTTTCGTTCTCCGCGCGACGCAGAGCTGCTAGCTGTTGTGATGCTTTGTTTCTTTCTATTGTAATATTTAGTATATTTTCTATTATAGGGTTTGTTATTGTCTATATATAGTCTGTATATTGTGCACAACATATCATGAATTCAATACAATTTCCCTATTCTAAGTTGGTATCGAGCTAGGTTTAACAAAACCAATTTTTTTTTCTCCTCTCTCTTTTCTCTCCCCCGCCGACTCCTTCTTTATCGGCCGTGCACACCTCCTCCGCCATAGTCGGCTTCTTTCTTCTGCTCTTCGCCGACGACCAAGCTCAGCACTGCCGCCGGTCGTCTTCGTCTTCGCCGGACAGAGGGAGTACTGCTGCTGCCGCCGCTGCTGCTGTTGCCGCCTGTCTGTTTCCTCATCGCCGGCAGCTTCCTCTCCATCATCGCCTGTCTGTTTTGGCCGATTGTTTTTTCGGTCGGCAGCTTGTTTGTCTCCACCATCGCCGGCGCTTCCTCTCCATCATCTCCATTGCTGCTGCCGGCGTTTTGCTGTTGCCGGTTCGTCGTCAGCGTCGTCGGTGCTTCGTCCTCTGTCTTCCACCGCTACTGCTGCTGGCGTCGTCGCCTTCTCCCTGCCGCCGCCGCTCGTTGTTCTCTGTGATTGGTGCGGCCTTCTAATAAAACAAAAAAAAAAGGAAAAAAAAACCAAAAAAAAAACCAAAAAAAAACCAAAAAAAAAAATCATAAATAATTCCGTTTTGCTTACTTACTTTCAACGATGACTATCACCGACCTTTCATCCGCCGACCAGGCTACTCATCTTCGGTCACCGGTATCTTAATCAGTATCAATTCTTCAACCTAGTATGTAATCTCTCAATCATTCATTTACTGTGAAGCTGCAATCGCGAGCCAACTATTCGTCTTGTCGTCTTCAGTTTACTCCTTTATTGACTATGTTTCGTGTTGCCGGTATTGTCGACGGCACCGAACCTGCACCGCCACGGTTTCTTCCTTCCGTTAGTGGTGCCGTGCCCCAACTCAATCCTGAGTTTGATATCTGGCAGCAAAAGGATCAGTTGGTCCTCTCTTGGATTCTTTCTTCCGTTGCTGAAGAGATTTTTCCCGTTCTCCAGTGCTGCACAACATCGGAGGCTGCATGGACAGCTCTTCAACAGGGTTTCGGGACTCTTTCTTATGCTCAACAGACCCAGCTTATTATGGAGCTCCACAGCTTGCAAAAAGGTGACTTGTCGGTCACGGCTCTCCTCTCCAAAGCGAAGGGCATCGCTAATACACTACAGCTTGCCGGCCATCGCATATCTCCTGCGGAGTTTAATGCCATAATCTTCCACAAGCTTGGTGCCGAATTCAATGGCATCATCGGAGCTCTGCAACAGCGATCTGAACCCCCCTCCTATCAAGATCTCCTTGGACAGTTAGTTTCATATGAGGTACTTCTTCACGCCCAACAGCCGGTCCTTCAGCCCACAGCCATGCTTGTGCAGTCGCCACCTTCTCCTACGCCGCCTCAATCCTCTCGTGCCGATCGCTCGCAACGCGGCAGTCGGCGTAATCAGGTTTCTGGTCGTGGTGGTGGTCGGCGTGGTTACACCCCTCCCGCTCCGGGTGAGACGTGTCAGCTTTGCGGCATCTTGAATCACACGGCCGCCACTTGTCGACGCCATTTTGATACTAATTTTGTTCCTCGACCCCCTGCCGTTCGGTCGGCTGCTTATGCCCAGGCAGGTTCCCCTGCACCGCCTTCAGCTGGTTTGTTGCCTCTTCCGTCTTACCCGGAGGCGACTATGTCTCTTCAAGCCCATATGGCGCAGTATGCACCTTCTGTCACTCCCTGGCATCCGGACACTGGTGCTACCGATCATGTCACGCCAGATTTGTCCTCTCTCAGTATCTCCAATGATTATACTGGTACGGATCATATTTTAGTTGGTAATGGAGATGCTTTACCTATTCAGCATGTTGGTCAATCTGTTTTGCCATCGTTTTCGTCCTTTTATTTAAATCGTGTCTTGCATGCTCCTTCTCTTACTAAACCTCTGTTATCTGTTCAAAAGTTTACCCGTGATAATCACTGTTTCTTTGAATTTTATTCTGACTCTTGTTGTGTTAAGGATCTTTCAACCAAGGAACTCCTCCTCCGCGGTCGGGCTGATAATGGTCTCTATCGCTTAGATCTTCCTGCTCGTGGTTCCTTGTCTCCAGCAGCTTATCTTGTCTCTTTAGGTCAGTGGCATGCCCGTTTAGGGCACCCCAATAATGTTACTCTTCGTACTTTGGTTAGGCAGTTTCAACTTCCTTATTCCTCTGTGTCCACGTCCACTGATAAATGTGAGGCGTGTTGTTTAGGGAAGTTACATAGGGTCAGTTTACCTTCTACATTTCATCGTAGCTCTAAACCTCTTGATTTAATTCACACTGATGTTTGGGGTCCTGCTCCTATTTTGTCATTCAATGGTTATCGCTACTTTGTGCTTTTTATTGATGACTTCTCTTTATTCACATGGATTTATCCAATTAAGTATAAAAGTGATGTTGTCCATGTTTTCAAGCAATTCAAAGCTCTCGTAGAAAACCAATTTGGCACTACCATTAAAAGTGTTAACTCCGATTGGGGTGGTGAATTTCGTTCTCTCAATTCTTTCTTTAAGGATGTTGGTATTGTTCATCGTTTAGCGTGTCCACACACTCATGAGCAGAATGGCACTGCTGAACGCAAAATTCGTCACATTGTCGACATTGGACTTGCTCTCCTTGGCCATTCCAGTACCCCTTTTCGGTTTTGGGAGTTTGCTTTTGAAACTGCTGTGTTTTTTATTAATCGCCACCCTAGTAAACCTCTTCAAGGTCACCTACCCTTCACTACACTATATCACCAGCCACTTGATTATACCTTTCTTCGTGTCTTTGGTTGCGCTGTCTATCCTCTTCTTCGCCCTTATAATAAACATAAATTCTCCTTTCGTTCTACTCAGTGTGTCTTTCTTGGGTATTCTCCATCTCATTTTGGTTATCGCTGTTTTGATGTGGTGAATAACCGTCTTTATGTTGCTCGTCACGTTGAGTTTGATGAGAAACTCTTTCCCTTTAAACTTCCTATTTCTAGTTCTCCTTCTTCGCTGCTGGAGTCTTCTGCTACCCCTTGGTTGCGTGTAACCAGTTCTCCTGGTATACTTGCGTCGTCTTCTGCGTCTTCTTCGTCTCTTTCTAGTACACCAGTTCTTTCGTCTCCTCCTATCCTTCCCGACTCATCACTTTTAGCTAGATCTCCTGCATCCAGCCCTTCATCATCTGATTGCAGTCCTCCGCCACCACCTCCTCCTCCTTCTTCTCGTCAGCACTCAATGACACTTCGTCCACAACCCAAGCCCAAGAAAATCTTTGATCCCTCGGCTCATCTTACCTCTGTTTCCCCAGCCTTGTCTATTGCTCCTACATCCTTTACCCAAGCCAAATCTCTTCCTCAGTGGCAGAATGCCATGAAGGATGAAATTTCCGCCCTCCTCAAAAATAACACATGGACTTTAGTTCCCCCTCCTTCCTCCGGCAATGTTGTCGGCAATCGATGGCTCTATAAGATTAAAACTCATGCTGATGGCTCTATTGAGCGGTATAAGGCTCGGTTGGTGGCTCGAGGTTTTACTCAGTCTTTTGGGGTTGATTACACTGACACTTTTAGTCCGGTTGTTAAGCCGGTCACCATTCGTTCCGTTTTGACTGTTGCCCTGGCTCGTGGATGGTCGATTTCTCAGCTTGATGTCAGTAATGCCTTTCTTAATGGTGTTCTCAGTGAGACCGTGTATATGGTTCAGCCACAGGGGTTTGTTGATCCGGTGCGCCCTCATTATGTGTGTAAACTGCATAAGTCCTTGTATGGTCTTAACCAACCTCCTCGGGCCTGGTATTCTCGACTGGCAGCATTTCTACTTACCTTGGATTTTGTGGAGTCTCGTTGTGATCCGTCTCTTTTTGTCTATCGATGTGGGTCGCAGTTGTATTTTTTGCTGGTCTATGTGGATGACATTATTCTTACAGGCAGCACTTCTGGTTTGGTCCAGCATTTTATCTCTTGTCTTGCTAAGGAGTTTTCTCTTCGGGATTTAGGTCCATTGAGTTACTTTCTTGGGGTTGAGGTTCGTCGTACTTCCAAGGGTTTGCTTCTCTCTCAGCGCAAGTATGTCACTGATTTGCTACGACTTGCAAATATGCATACTTGCAAACCTGTTTCCACTCCTTTGCAGGCTAATGTTGTGTTGTCCCGTTTGGATGGTACTCTGTTGTCTCCTGATGATGCGACTACTTATCGTCGGTTGTGTGGCAGTCTGCAGTATACCACTCTCACTCGTCCAGATATCTCCTTTGCGGTTAATAAGCTTTGTCAGTTCATGCATCAGCCTCGCACTTCTCATTTTCAGGCTCTCAAACGGGTTCTTCGCTATCTTCGTGGTACCATTGATTTCTGTTTAGTTCTGCATCCTACAGATTTGGGTACTCTTACTGCGTTTAGTGATGCTGACTGGGCTGGTTGTCCGGATGATCGTCGTTCTACTACTGGTTTTCTCATTTATTGGGACCTAATCTCATTGCCTGGGCATCTAGGAAGCAGCCCACTGTGGCTCGCTCGTCTACTGAGGCTGAGTTTCGTGCGGTTGCTAATGTCTGTGTTGAACTGCATTGGGTGTGTCATCTGTTGTCGGAGTTAGGCGTTTCTTTAAATCGCCCTCCCTCTATTTTGTGTGACAACAGTAGTGCAGTTTTCCTTGCTGTCAATCCTGTATTCCATGCTCGTATAAGACATGTTGAGGTTGATTTTCACTTTGTTCGAGATCATGTTTGGCATAAGTTTGTTTCAGTCAATTCTGTCTCTGCTGCTGATCAGCTTGCTGATATTCTTGACAAAACCCTTGTCCAAAGAGTTATTCTTTCGATTTCGGGACAAACTTCTGCTTCTCTCTTCTCCGCCGTGAGTTTGCGGGGGCGTATTGTAATATTTAGTATATTTCCTATTATAGGGTTTGTTATTGTCTATATATAGTCTGTATATTGTGCACAACATATCATGAATTCAATACAATTTCCCTATTCTAAGTCTTTCGAAATATTTCCCTTGTAAACTTTGGTTTATATTTCTCTGGAATGAAATTGAAATTTACAGGGGGAAAAAAAATGTTTCATGGCTTTGATTAGCAAATGAGAGTTTGAAAGTTGAAACTAGATATATTTTTTTTTCCAATTTCACCTTTATCTATGTTTACTTTTAAAATTTTATATTAATAATAACTACTTATTTTTTTAATTTTTTTTGTATGTCGTCAATACAATGAATTAAGTGCAATAAGATACCTGATGGCTATATTAAACATTCAGTCATGGTTTCATTAATTCTTGTACATACCTTAATACGATGAATGAACAAATAAAATTGATTTTATTAATTTTTGTATATATCCTAATACGCTGAATGAACAAATAAAATAGATGTATGACTCTCTCTGTTTTTAAAATAATTATCCTATTTTGATTTTTTTGCTACTAGTACAATGTGTACTAAAGTCAAAATGCAAACTGAACAATTGTTGTGTAATAAAATGAAAATGTAAATTGTACGGAGGAAAAATAATTATTAATTGAGAGATGAGTTAGAAGGAATGCTACACAATAGATAATTTATTAACAAGTTCTTTTTTTTTTTTTTTGAAAAGGAAATATTAAGAAGTTGTTTCTTCGGATTCAAAAAGTCGACAGACTTTTAGTTACATTTTTAATTTCCGGAAGGACGAATGTACGTTTTTGTCCCTAATATATTGGGGTAGCTTAACTCAGTCACCAAAAAGTTTTCACAACCGATTTTAGTCACCTAAAACTTTTTGTTTGCCTGATTTTGGTCTTTTAACAAGTTTTTTGTTCTAATTGACGGAAATTTTAACCCCTCCGTTAAGCCCCAACTTTTGTATTCATTTCCTGCAGGTGGTGGGTCCCGCGTTCATTGACCATGAATTTTTTTTTTTTCAGCCTTTTCTTCTCCAGCGGCGGCGACCCCTTTTCTTCTCAGCCTTTATGGGCTTTTGTGTTTTTCTCTAGCTCATCTTTGTTGATTGATACTACTTCTTGTTGTAATCAATGTTTCACTGATTAGTGTATTCTTCTTCTTCTTCTTCCATAATTTTGATTTTTTTGAGTGTTCCAAAACCAGCAATAATTCTCCCAACCCAGATTTTCTTTTTCATTGATTCTGGTTAATTTTGATGTTCCAAAAATCATTTCTTTGGGGGTAAAAAGTTAAGTATGAGGGATGACGAGAATTGGTTTGCTAAATGGGAAGAAGAACTCACTTCCTCCTGAAGACCTTATACTTTATCCCAAACCCCAATAACACCTGATCTAGCCATAGCTTTTGATATTCGAAATCCTAACGGCAGCCCACGTCAGCATCACCACCAGCAGAGTAATCAGCCATCGTTGCCGACGCCTCCCCCATCCCAAGCTGAGAATACTCCCTCTTCCCAGCCCAATTCGTCGGCTGAGTTTGACTCCTCCGAGCTGGGCAGCACCAGCGGAGGGAGTGGTGGCGCCGGAGATGGTTCGGGAGGTGAAGAGCCTGTAAGGACTCTGAAGCGGCCCCGGTTGGTGTGGCCTCCACAGCTTCACAAAAGATTCGTGGATGCTGTGGCCCACTTAGGGATCAAGAATGCCGTCCCAAAGACAATAATGCAGTTAATGAGTGTTAATGGGTTGACCCGTGAGAATGTTGCCAGTCATTTGCAGAAATATAGGCTTTATCTGAAAAGAATACAGGAGATTTCCAACGGTGGCGGCGGCGGTGGTGGAATCAATGGTAATGGTTCAATGGGTGCAGGTGGGGGTAACCCTGATTTGTTTGCCAGTACCAAGTGGGTCGCCGTCGCCGGAGATGAAAAGGCTGGAAAAAAAAATTTCATAGTCGACGAACGTGGGATTCACCACCGGCAGGAAATGAATAAAAAATTCAGAACTTAAAGGAGGGGTTTAAATTTCCGTCAATTAGAAAAAAAATTTGTTAAAAGACCAAAATCGAGCAAAAAAAATATATTAGGGACTAAAATCGGTTGTAAAAACTTTTTAGTGACTCGATTAACTTATCCCCAAGGGACCAAAACGTACATTCATCCTTTCCCGAATTCACCCACTATATTTTAATTTTCGGAACATGACGGGATTAATCTTCATCTTCTCAGTTATTGTCTCCCTTACAAATCCATTTCCCCCTTGTTCATGATTTCATGTTATGTTGTTGGGTAGAAATCAATGAAAGATATGGCTGCTGATGCTAATATTGATGATTCTTCTTATTATACTCATTCTGTCAACAAGATTGATCACTTGCTGAAACGAAACAATAAGCTGGATTTACACTTGCGGGCGGACCTTTTAGATTGGTACAAATCGTCAATGGAGTTACACCTGAGGTTGCTGAAAGTCATGGTGGTTTACACCGGAAAATGGAGCTATGAGGAAAAAGCTAACCATTTGGGGAAGAATTCCTTGCTATTGTCATTGGAATCTCATTTCAATGACATCGCCGATATGGTTTCCGGCGCCGATTTCAGGCGACACCCAGAAAAATACAGCATCAACAGTTTTAATTCACGGTATTATTTTCTTCAGGATTTTCAAAAGGAATTTGCGGCTACTTGCGGTGAACTGGTGAGATCGTTTTACCAGCAGTCCCAGTCTCCGGCGGCGGCGGCACACCCGATTCCGTTGCCGCCGGCGGTTAGCGACTTTTATGATTTTGTAGCCTCCGTACAAGAGCTTCTGGCGTGTTTTCCGCGGGAACTGGAGGGTTATGTGAAGTTGTCGAGAATACGGATGCATTGGTTGCCTTCCCATTCTGACTCCATGAAGACAGAAATCGAAGCGGTTGATCTCTTCTTGGAGACATTGAAACTTGTGATTTCAACAGTTGAAGATCTGTGTGGCGTTGACCAGGTTTTTCTTTTCCCTTTTTTTTCCTTTATCAAATTTATTTCAAATTTCTAAATTTAGTGTGGACTATTTTTTTTTAGAAAATCATATTATTATTTCTTAATTTCCCATTCTAAGAAAATAGTTTAGTTTCATGAAAAAAATAATCCGCAAAAAGGAAAAAAAAAATGTCTACTTTCATTAACTCCAAAATTAATTTGAATAGAAGAACTACATAAAGATAAATCACTGTTCTATGTTACACAAACTAATTAGGGTCACAATTGGGAAATTTTGAGTTGTTAATTTTTGTTCCTTGGTTGTATTACATTTGAACGTCAAATGTAAGCTTGTAGCACCTAATAAATGGGGTTTATAAATGGATATAACATTATGTAGTACGCATGCAAGAAAAATAGTTCAAATAACAATGTGGATTAGTTTTTCTAAACACGAGTCAAGGAGTACTTTTATTTTGTGATCTTCACATGTGTCCATGTAAATCTCTAAGGAGGTTATCTCTAACGAGAAATGGCAGTGGGATTATTAGACAACTGAAGTTAGTGATCATGTGAAAACAAAAGAATTGTAAAATCATGACTCCCTAGAGTTGCGAGTTAGAAATTTTGTCCAAACTTATTCTTTCTGTTGTTAAGTGATTTATCTCTTTTTTTTTCTTTTTTTCTTCTTATTGGTAATTTTGAATCTAGCAGGAACGGCACAAGGAGAAGTTACATGGCTGTCTGACTGCTGCCGGAAGTCTGGTCTTGAGCACAATATATATAGGTTGCCAAAATCAAATGCTAGAACGATATTCATCTACATTTCCCGAAGCAATGCTTCATGGTTTTGCTGTAATGACACTGAAGTTAGCAAATCAAATTCAGAATTTCGTAAAGCTCTATGTACATGGCAACAAAGGGAAGAAGCTGGAGGATCACAACGAGCTAGTGGATCATCATCTGAAGCTTTTTGCATTTGCACATGTAACGAGGGAAGCATGTTCTTCCCTGATTGGCTTTATCCCAAATGTTTTCTCGTCAAATCTGGCGCACAAAGTTAAGCTCATTAGACCAGAGATGTTTGTCCTGGAACTGTACCAGCATGAGCCAAAATTATGTCAGGAGGATCGAGAGGGGACCATTAGCGAGACTTTCACATTCCTGAGTGAATTCTTCAAATCACCAGAGCCAGCTCGGTTCATGGAGTACAAAGAAAAACAACAATTAACGTGCATTGAAGCTTTACTTAGAGGGACAGGAAGGTTCACAGAGGATGTGATCATCAATTTGAGTCCTTCGATTTTTAAGCTTTTCAAGGCAGAAGCAATGTCAATGGTGTTGAGTGATGATAATACCAGCCTGATGTTCAAGGCGAATTACCGCCTAGAAACTCTTCAGAAGAGTTTGATCTTCCTCAGAGCATTGCTCTCAGATCCGCAAAAAAGTGACAATGCTGTGGAGGTCCTGGAGGATGTAAATGTCTCAACATTTATTGAAGCACTGGCAAGTGAGACTGTAAAGCTTGTCTGCTCCTTTGGGCAGCAAAAAATTGACAATAGTCAGCCATTTGAAATGAGGGATAACATGCTGTACCATTTGTCTGAAAAGATTGTGCATAACTTCTCTGAGATAAAGGCTGATTTCCAGGACAGGCATTGGTTGTCATTTTCTAGTTTCCCTACAGAAGATGAAATTTACTTTGTCGATTCTCTTTTGACAGGGATGAAGAAGATTCTAACAGCAAACGAGCCTCATTTTGTTTGCTTTGGGAAAGTAGGAGAGTTGGAGTCTTTAAGATCTTTTCTGAAAGATGTGCAGCAGCAAAATCCTGCTAAGGAGGAGCAATCTCTGGTATGCATCGTCTCTGAGGCATACCGTATCATTAGCACTTTTGAAGATAGAGACGCCTTTACATGGTATGATCGTATGGTACTTTTCAATGCCATTGAAGAAATCATGCTTCTCAAGGCACATTTCCTTGAACACTTTCAGGACCGTACCACGGTATGTTTTCAAAACCATCAAATTTTCTCTATAACACGATTACCTGTTGTTTGGGCATTTAGTATGAACCAAAACGGTGTGCAAAGAGAACAAACACAGAAGTAATAACGTCCTCAGATTGTGCGTAGAGGACTCTAATGTGTCTGTAATTGCGTCTTGCTCATCTGTTTCTAACTCAGACCAGGTTTTCTTTTGTAGTCTCCACAATCTGTTGATATAGCGAGCTTCTGTTTGAGATCCTCAAAAACTGCATTTCAATGTTCCCTAGTTTATTCTCCTTAACACATGGTACATGCAGTCGATCATTGAAGTATAAGTTCAATTTCAGCAGATTATCTTGTTTAGCCAAATTTGGGAAAAAATACGCAAATATTCGGTCACAAGATGAAACTGTTAAACCTATTGTTCCACATTGGAAGTTTAACTGACTGAACATCAATATAAAAGATTTTGAGCTACTCCATTCATAGGTTATTGATTTTGAGTTAGATGCTATGGTTAGATGTATTTGTTGGCTCTTATTGCTAATTTTGAGTTAGATGCCCGTGTTCTAACAGAAAGAATGGTTAGATGTACTTGTTGTTACTTATAGCGCTGTGAGCAGTGCTTTCTTTCCTCCTATTTCCTATCAGCCATCGATACTGTATCCTTTCTTAATGGCGTAGAACACATTGAGATCCAAGCCTCACTTCTTATACTTTGTTTAGCTAGAGCTGCCTCGTTCTGGTTTCTCTTTTTGCATCCATAATGCTAAGACATTCTTCAATTTTCTGAAACAACCCTGCTCCCAGTTCACTGGAGGGAATGATCTTCCATGGTCTTAACTCTTCAAAGGATATCCCTGGATACTCGGTTCATCTGTTATCATGGAAAGGGAAATCATTATTGCCAACAAATGTCGATACAAAAGCACCTAGCTGATATGTTTATTCCTTTTGGACTAGCATTTCTTTCTTCCAGTTATCTTCGCGATATTGGCTTGACGATCTTTTCAATTTCACCATTTAATTGGAGAAAGAGAATGACAGAACGTAGACACCTCACAAAAAATTTCAAAACCAGTTGCAGCGAACGGTTTTTCCTTTTCTTTCACAGAGACACATTCTTTTGGTTTCCAAACAATTGGGTTGCTTTTAAAAAATATCATTAAATGCATTCGTTAAAATTTTGAATTCCTTTCAGTTTGACAGAAGAACATCATATCAGTTGTAAAATAATAAAAAAAAAATTCTTAATTTGTGCTCCTTGTTCAATACGAGTTCTTCTCTTTTATTTAAATGGAACCTCAATTTTTACTCATATCAATAGTTCAGTCAGTTATTTGTTACCTATGGTATCAAATGGTGATAAAGGATTATCGGCTGTGGAATTTTCATAGGCAGCCTCTGTTACTTGTTAGTGATTTCTATTTTCATTCTAGAGCTTCAGGTTGAACCCACGTACGAAGTCCCACCTCTTATTTGCTTTATCCGATATTTGGATGCCTTTCAAGAGTTTATAACATGGGCTACTTCCTAGAAATAAGAGGATGTAGAGATCCTACTGCTTTGAAATTCTATGTTTGAGATATGTCTCGAATAGTCTTCAATAGGAGAGCTATAAATCCATGTTTCTCACCGTATGGTGCTGGCATCTCAATTTTTATTTTGTTTTTAGTGTAAATTATTCTATTTGTTGTTAACTTGTCATTCTTAATTTGATTGGTTACTTTGGTCCAAGCAGGAACAACAACAGAAGCTGCAAAGCTGTTTTGCTGCAGCTGGAACACTGGTTTTGAGCATACTATGCCTCGGTAGCCAAAACCAAACGATGAATCAATGCGATTTTAGACTTCTCGAAAAGATGCTTCATGATTGTGCAATACTGCCACCGGTTCTCATTTCCCCAAAGGATTACTTCCAGTTTCTACAGGTGTACTGGGAAATTATAAAGGTGGCGCCGAAACAAGTCCAAGTGTACAGGACCTCTCTCCAATTTCTAGAGAAAATGGTAGGCATGCTAGATCAACCATTGGTGGATCTATTATTGAAGCTGGAGGATCACAACAAGCAAGTGGATCATCGGGTGAAACTTGCATTTGCACATGCAGTGAGGGAAGCATGTTCTTCTCTGATTGACTTTATCCCAAATGTTATGTCCTCAAAGTTGGGGAACAAACTTAAGCTCAGCAGAGCCGAGATGTTTGTCCACGAGCTATACTACAGCAAGTCCAAATTATGTGGAGACAAACAAGTTACGACCATTAGAGAGGCTTTCAGTTTCCTGAATGAATTCTTCAAATCACCAGAGCCAACATTGTTCATGGAGTACAGAGAAAAACAGGCATTCATACGCATTGAAGCTTTACTGAGACATGAAGGAAAGTTAACAGAAGATATGATCATTAAATTGAGTCTTCCGATTTTTAAGCTTTTCAAGGCAGAAGCAATGTCAACATTGTTGATCGATGATAATTCCAGCTTGAAGTTCAAGCAATGCTATCGTCTAGAAACTCTTGAGAGGATTTTGATATTTCTCGGAGCATTGCTCTTAGGTCCACCAAAACATGACTATGTGGAGGATAAAGATGTAAATTTGTTGAAGTACTTGTAAGTCAGATGACAACTCTTGTCTGCTCCTTCGGGCAGGACAGAATTGGGAACCATCAGCCATTCGAAATGAAGAAAGAGTTGCTGCCCTATTTGTCCAAAAAGATCGAGCTCAACTTAGTTGAAATAAATGAAGCTTTCCAGGCAGGCTCTCGGTGGTTAACTTTCCATTTTCCAAGCAAAGATGTGATCCACTTTGTTGGCTTTCTCCTGGCAGATTTGAAGAAGGTTTTGACTGATAAGTATGACATTTTATCTCTTGAAAAAGATCAAGTAGAACCGTTGCTTGAGGAATTGGAGGTGTTAATATCTTTCCTGCAAGACGTGAACAGGCAGAAGAAGGATCTTTCAGAACAGGAGCAACGTGTGGTAAGCCTGATTCATGAAGCGGAGTATATCATTAGCCTATTTGTAGCCGGAGATACTCCTGTATGGTACTACCAAACTGTGATTTTCAATATCATTGAAGAAATAAGGCTTATCAAGGCCCATCTCCTAGAGTGTTGTGTTCAACCGCCTTTGGGGCGAAAGGCACCAGAAGCCAGAAACCTAGAAACTGATGAAGTCGTAGTGGGGTTTAATGATCATGCTAAAGTTATAGTGGGCAAACTTACAACTGGTTCATCACAAAGGCATATTGTCTCAATTATTGGAATGGGCGGCCTTGGCAAGACAACGTTAGCCAAGAAAGTCTATGGTGACATTACAATTCTGCATCACTTTGAGATTCGTGCGTGGTGTTCAGTTTCCCAAGTATATCGAAAGAGACAACTACTGCTTGACATATTGGAAAGTTTTGGTCAGGTGACTGATGAAATCAAGGCAAAGGATGAAAATGATCTTGCTCAAATTCTGTATCAACGTTTAAAAGGGAAAAGGTACTTAATTGTCATAGATGACATATGGAGCATAAAGCCCTGGAGTGACCTACAGATTTCATTACCAAATGACAACAGAGGAAGTAGGATTTTATTCACAAGCCGGGTAGAAGAAGTGGTGAAAGACATTGGTGAAAGGGAACCGTACATTCTTCCTTCCCTCTCGGATAGTGGAAGTTGGGATCTATTGGAGAAGAAGTTGTTTCCTGGAGGAAGCTGCCCTGAGCATTTGCAAGAAGTAGGAATGCTCATTGCAAAAAAATGCAAGGGTTTGCCACTTGCAATAGTGGTCATAGCTGGTGTTCTTAATAAGGTTGAGAAGAGAAAGGACCAATGGAAAGAATTTTCAAAAAATTTAAGATCACATATAGTTGATGACAGACAAAGCCGGTGCATGGACATCTTAGAGTTCAGTTACCATCATTTACCGTCTTACCTCAAACCTTGCTTTCTTTACTTTGGAGTATTTCCAGAGGACAAAGAAGTCCCAAGTCAGAAATTGAAAATGTTATGGATCTCAGAAGGATTTATACCAGAAAAGGGTGAGACCGGGCGAACTGTAGAAGAAACTGCAGAGGGCTACTTGTTGGAATTAACTAGCCGAAGCTTGGTGTCTCAGGCAAAAAGAAGATCTAGAGGGGGACCTAAAACATGTGGTATGCATGATTTGTTGCGGGATCTCTGCTTGGAGAAAGCTAAAGAAGAAAATTTCATGCGGTTCATATCGAGGAAGTGTAATGGTGATTCGCCACTTTCATTAGGATCTAGGTCCTATCGGCTATGTGTCGAGGCACCAGAACGTCATTTCATGCAGGTTGAACTTTGTGGTCAACGTCTCCATTCTCTACTGTTACTTTCCACTGGTGACTCGGATAGACATTTCAAGGACTTTTCGAGCATTTGCCAAAATTTAAAGATTCTCAGAGTGTTAGATTTGGAACAAATGACAATTGACACAAGATTTTTCAATGGGATTGAATCGATGTTTTGTTTGAATTACTTAGCTGTTGGAGGAAATATAGATTCAATTCCTTCATCCATAGCTCAACTCTGGAACCTGGAGAGTCTCATAGTAAAGGCAACAAAAGGTACAGTTGAAGTGCCAAGAACACTTTGGAGCATGCAAAGGTTGAGGTATGTACAAGTACATCCTCGTGCTAGATTTAATATTCCAGACAATGAATTTGAGAATCCTGTGGTTTTACACAATCTAGTGGCCTTCTCCTTGCCAACTTTTATCGTAAGGACAGAAGCGGAAAAAGTGTTGAAAAGGTTGATTCGTGTAAAGAAGTTGAGATTTATCTTGGGACCAGGTTGGACCCAGAGCTATTATGATAAGAATCTGGAACTGGCCTATCTTGATCAACTTGAGTCACTGAAAATAGTCTACAATGGGAGTGGTTCTCCATGTGGAATCAGTTTCCCCTCGACTCTCAAGAAATTGACTTTGTCCAACTTTCGCCTACCATGGAAGTACATTGAGGTCATCAGGCAACTATCCAATCTGGAAGTTCTGAAATTGCTAAGCAGGTCATTTGATGGGAAAATATGGGAAATGGACGCTGAAGCCGATTTTCCCAATCTGAAATATCTGAAGTTAGTCAATTTGAACCTTGCAAAGTGGAATGCCTATTCAGATTGTTTTCCCTCGCTTGAGCAACTAGTTGTACACAGCTGTAGCAATCTTGAGGAGATCCCTTCCAGTTTTGGTGAGAGCGACACACTACAGATGATTGATATGAAGTGGTGCTCGCGGTCTGCTGCAAATTCTGCAGTAAAAATTTACAATCAACAGGTGGAAGAATTGGGAAATAAGGAGTTCAAGGTCTTCAAAACTGATCGAGTATCATTTTGAACAGCTAAACGAGGATTCCAGAAAGGTTCAAATTATATCTTCCGCTATTCTTTTTCGGTTCCACTGTAAGGTGTTTTAGTCTTATTGGTGCGTGCTTCTGTTCGGAGTTCATATGTCCACAGCACTGCTGTATATGTTGTGATAGAGAGCTTTACTTACAATAATATTTGCAGGAAAGAAGGGACAATATGAAATGCTTCTGCTGCGAAGATTTCTGCGTGCAAATTAAGAAGAGAACTTGGGACAGATTGTTGTGATTTGGAAGCTCAAGATACAAATATATGCAGACTCTTGTAAACTTAATCATCAACAAGGTTCTTTTCACTGTTCCCATAATTCTGTGGTTTCAACGTTGATTGAAGTTTGTGATTGGATTAATCTTTGACCTATATATTGCTTGCAAGTTGCAACTTCCCTTTTGCAATTTTTATTGTCAGAAACATTCTCCATTTCACATCAAAGGAAACCATTGAAAAATGTACAACGAGATTTGAAAATCCTCAAATTTTGAGTAGAGAGATTCATCAGTTTATGAGAAGTTCCATCAAATTACAAAGAAAAATTATTGGACAAAGAACGACAGCTATGTACGCGAAGTGAACATGAACCAGCAAGAGCAAAGTCTAGAGTTATAAGAATGAAAAAAAATAGGTACAAGCAAGAAATTCGCAAATTAGACTAAACCACAGAAAATGTCCTATATATTTGGTAAAAAAATCATTTTCGTCCCATATATATTAAAATGCCCATTTCATCCCATTTCGGCCACAAAAGACTATTTTTTCGACTATTTACGTCCCAACTCAACTTTCATCCGTTTTCCATAAACTGACGGTCAAGATGGAGGTGTATTTTTGTCTTTCCGTCCGGCTTTTGATTTCCAGTACTTAAGAAATGAAATAATAATTAAGAAATCATTAAAATAATTATAAATTTTAAAAATTAAAACATCACATTTTTTGTTACTTTTACCAGGTGGACCTCAGTAATTCTCTCTTCTGTTTTTATTACTTTTTTTTACGTTTCATTGCAGTTAACTTATAGATTAATATTTTTACAGCCGAATTAAAAATAAAAAAGATCAGGAAAATTTTCATTAAAGGCATTGGAAACATTAAAATTATTATAAAAGGCATGAGATTTATTTATCATTTATTAAATATATTTAATTACTTTTGATATATTCCCCTCTTTTAAATAATTTCTTTACCCCTTCCATTGTTCTTTTCAATCGTTGGACATATCCCTGAAATAAACGTTCAAAGTTCTTAATTCCATTCCCCATCTCCCTACATTATTCATCATGAAATCATCATCAAGCTGTTTTCATTGCAACGATCTGAACTGGAAATGATTAGATACAAGGCCACAAAACAAGTTCCCAACTTAAGATGATCAATCAATGGTGGGCCCAAACAAAATGGAAACATCCATGAAATAAGAATAAGAACTAACATGGCCATTCAAAATCGTAGGAGCTCGATGATTTTATCTCAGTGCCAAAACACAAGGCAAATAATTACTAAAAATATTAGCAAAATCAGTCTCTACATAGAGGCGAGCAACGTAATCGCAAGCTCTCAACTTTATTTAGATGAGATTATGAAACTTTGGTTAGCAGCAATCTTAAATTAACTGAATTAATGAAAAATTAATCATTGAATTATTTATCCTCTATAAAGTAGTCACTTTCGAGATGAGAACCTCAAAATAAATGGGTGGAAGAAAAAAAATTCCAGGGTCTCTTCTTTTTTGCGTTGATATGCTCTGAAATTAGATTGGTGAGTAGGGCAGAGGAAATTTGGTGATAAAGTAGCAAATCGGTCAATTCGGAATAAATTTATGAAGAAGAAAATAAAAACATGGCTAAAGGGATGGCAGAAATGACGAAAATTTTGTTGTGGCTCCATCTTTAGTTCAACCACTAAAGATAAATTTATTACTCACAGAGAAAAGATTGGGTACATAGATTGAAGGATAAGAAAGTCTTTTGATAAGTTTAAGATGTTTAGAAAGTGTTTAAATATTCATAATAAATCTTTAAATAAAATCCATGCCCTTAATAATAATTGGTGTCTCCTATCCAAGGAAGGTTTTAATCACCTAAGCTAGGCTTATGCCTCCTTTCATTGTACCCAAAAAAAAATAATACCTTCCTAATTACATTACTTTCTACCAGCATTATTCCATATATATCTATATATATATATATATATATATTTTGGGTGAGCCATGAATAAATGAATGACAACTGAAGCAAATACACATGGGTATTTGATTATGGAGATTAATATGATTCTGGTTCATGTCTGGTTCATGGCACCACAATAATCCCCTTAATCAAATTCCTTCCTATTGAGGTATCCAATAATTAAATATTTTTTAATTATTGGATGCACAATCTTGAAACATCTTTTCTTATTTTCTACAACTTGAAAATGCAGCTGCTCTGCAAACTCCCATACCCGCGCTTATTGCTTTAATTGGAAATGTGGCATTGATCAGATTAAGCAGAAGATGCAATTGATCATCAGTATCTAGAACTCTAAAGCACCTGGAGATGTAATGTGGTTGATCCAATTCAGTATATAAATATAAACATAATGTTATCTATAACTAATATGGGTAATGAGTGTACGAGCGTACCTGTTTAATTGGAACTCCTGTATTTACGATTGTAATATGAATATTTCTCTAACTTTTTGTTGTCCTTTAGGACCATGAGGCAGTTTATATTTATGAGGTTTCGATGCCGCAAAATCTTCATGTTTGGACGACCAATATCTTCAATCTCAAACTCCACTAGTAACAAACTCGGGACTTTCATAGTAGATGTCTAACTCATCAAATAATCTCTTCTTGACGTGAGTTCCTATCTTAATAAGTATTAAATTTGGATTTTTATTCTTATTACATATCATTATTTATATTAAAGAAAAAAAAGATAATCGACACGTGTTGCTCATTGAGATCATCAAGTCTCAATTAACATGAGTCATTTGCTAATTGGTTGATCATTAATCATTTAAAATTTTTTGTAAACAGTTAATAAATTATTTACTACTCCCTCAATCCTATAATCTAATTTAATAAAAAAATCTTGTCCTAAAAAAATAATCCAGTTTAACAAAAGTCAAAATTCATTGAATTGAAATGAATTAAATATCCAAAAGAGTATTGGTATGAAAAACAAGGCACACTTACTTTTATTTTCATTTTTTTTTAGTTTTCTCTTATTTTAACAAATGATTATATTTTTTAATACATGAATAATTAAAAAATGTGTTATATATCAAATTAATCTACGTAATGAGATCTTTCCATCAAGATCCATTGTCAATATTTTTTGAGATAAAAATTTTGATCAAATTTAAGTTGTAAAATAAATGCATATGTAGTTAATTTTTATAGAAATAACTAGAAGGAGCATTAGTGGAAGTTAGGGGATAAAAATGAGTTGTATATTTGGTGTGTTGACCAAATTAAAAAAGTTGTACAGTTTCAAACTGGATTATTTTTGTGGGACGGAGGGAGTATATAAAATTTTTACAAATATTACAAATTCCTGATTATGAGCTTGAAAATAAATATTTTTAAAAATTGCTGAGAAACTTTCGACTTCAAAAGTCCTTTCATTTACGAGTTTAAACTTTCAACCTATTATCATTTTGGCCCTTAAAGTTCCATTTGTGTGCTATTTAGTTTTCAAGTTTATCGATTTTTACATTTTCAAGGACGATTAATTGTGCCTCATATCTTATTAAAACTACATTTAATCCCCAAAGTCCACTTGCCTATAAAAATAGGCAATATGCATCTAGACATAATTTACGCATTTTTTAAATATATTTTTTAAACCAAACATAATATTAGCTAGTGGTGACAATTTTTATTGTACAACTTTTGAAAATCTTTGTTATAATATTTTTTACCAGATCTTACAAATATACCTCTCATACATAATATCAATACCTCTTATTTTGATCTAAAACTGATTAATTAAAAAAATATTACAATTTTAAGAAATATTAGTAACTATATTTTTTTTAAGAGAATAAGGACGGTATATTTGTAACTATATTATCTAATCAATTCTTTTGAAATATAAATTTTTAACATTAACAAAGCCGCACAAAGCATGAGATACACACTAGTTATACTAAAAGCGAAATTCCGAATTAAACAATTACTTCAAGACGGAATAATGAGATCTTATTGTTGCACTAACTTCTCCTTATTAGCTTTCTTCATGTTGGAGTTGAGTATATTAATCACTAACACGACCTTTTTTTTTTTTTCTCTTTTCTATTTTGTAAACAAGGAGGAATTTGAGTCAAATTGTTTCAAAACATTTTGCGAAGAAATTTCCTAACAAAAACATCAACTTCGCAAGAATTTTTATATATTCAAATTACCACTTGGACCAAGCTAGTGACATATGCATTGGCTAATTTAATTATGATTTGGGATTAATCCAGATAAGAGCATGCAGTAATGATTAAAATACTTGGTGTAGGACTTTTGTTTTCGAGAAAAATTTATCCGACTCGAATGCAGATTAATTAAGAGTAATAATTTCAGAAATCAATTGCATTTAAAAACTAAAATATGTAAGTAGGTAGCCAAAGTCAGAAAGTCCAGCGATTAGGATCGAAGGAAAAGGAACCCGAAGTCACATCAAACTCAAAAGGATTTTTCTGAGCTGAAAATTCGACTTCATCAAAAACCCGCCAAAAGAGTGTGATTTGGGCTCAGCAAATGCAAATAATAGTGATTGATCATATCGCATTACACCTTACGACTTTATCTTTGCTTGATTTATTATCATCACTTAAGGAGTTTGTTTGGTTAATAGTTAAAATCCGAAACATAGTAAATTGTAATCGTAATTTATATATTTGATTTTTCAAATCTGAATTTATAGAAAATTACAAGATCCAATGTGGTGAGAGGAAAATTACAGTATATTATAGTTTTATTACTCTGGATTGCAATCAGTAATAATGCGTATATTTTTCTTTCTTTTGTTTTTTCCCTTTTGGTATCCAAAATCCAAAGGATTAGTAGTTCTTTATATATATTCGATGGTTTTTTTTTTTACAATTAATAATTGTAGTACCAAAAAAAAAAGGATCAATAATTAATGATTTCCCATTTAGTTTTTTTAGTAGAAAAAGAAAAAGGCATCAATATTAAATGGGAATTAATGGAAAACCGAAACATGTGATTTCTTTACGTAAGGCCATGTTAACTGAATCCTATAAACATTCATTAGCACAGAAAGTGTGTATCCTATGTTACTAAAATAATGAAAAATAGGTAAAAAGAAACAAGATTTTCCTCTTATCACTCCCAAATCCAATCCAAACGATCTTATCCAATATCTCTCATGTTTGTTACACTAGTGATGATGATGGTTATATATCCGGGAACCAATTATTTCACGAATGGAAAAAACCACAACATCAGCAACAAAAAATTTCTGGTGTCATGGCATCAAAAATCTTCACAACATGTTTTTCTATTTTGATCGGATTATTTTTGCTCAAAGATGTTGATGCTTATAATGATATCAATGTGTACGAGTTGGTAAAGGGCAATTTTTCCGTCAAGATCACCAATTATGGTGCTACTGTTCTTTCAGTCATTCTTCCTGATAAAAATGGTTTGTTTTGTTTTCCTTTTTTCCCCCTTGTCCACACACGAGTCTTTGATTAAATGGCCCCAAAAATTTGTGATTTTTTGGTCACTGATTTTTCTTTTTGGTGTGGTGTTTGTTGGAATGCTCGCAGGAAAATTGGACGATGTGATTCTTGGTTATGAAACCGTAGATGAATACAAGGTCAGTTTTGATTTATTGCATTTTTTTTTTAATTTTTTGGTGGTGAAATTTTATATTATGATAAATGTTGAGAGTATTTGCTTCAGTCAAGTTGTGCTCTACATTGGGGACTTTAATGTTTTGGAAACTTTGCCTAATTGTTGAAATTGGAATATGAATGTGCTCAATAATTGCTAGCTTTGCTCAGAGTTTCTAACTTTTCTTTTTATAGCTTTGACTTTGCTATATTGATTTGTTTTTTTATTTTTTGTTTAAATGCAGAATGATTCAACCTATTTCGGAGGTCTTATTGGTCGTGTGGCAAACCGAATTGGACATGCTACGTTCAAGCTGAATGGGGTTAGTTATAAACTTCCGGCCAATGATCATGGGAACACTCTTCATGGTACTTCTAATTTTCTTATTGAAGAATGACTTTTTGGTATATGTAACCATAAATCTCAAATACTTTAATCCTCAAAATGTTTAAAAATCCGTTCAGGTGGTAGTGTTGGATTCAATGATGTTGTATGGACAGTGGATGAGTATGTTAGAGATAAATACCTTAGTCTCCATTATCTTAGCAATGACGGTGAACAAGGTTAGTATTTTTATTGCTATTTAGTTCCAACAGATATAAGTTTAAATATGATATGATTTTTACTGGATTCTTCATGATTATTTACAAATTTTTGTTCAAATTTGGCAGGTTTTCCAGGAGCAGTTAATGTTTATGTGATGTACATGTTGGTTGGAACCAACAGATTGGCCATCAAAATGGTAGCCAAACCTCTGGACAAACCTACTCCAATAAACCTTGCATCCCACACTTATTGGAATCTCGCTGGCCACAACAGTGGTGACATTTTATCCCATAAAATCCAAATCTTTGGCTCTCACATCACCCCAGTTGACCAAAAACTCATCCCCACCGGAAAAATCATGAACATCGAAGGCACACCTTTTGATTTCTTGAAATCTAGGACCATTGGTAGTAGATTTAAGGAAATCCCTGATGGATATGACATCAACTATATTATAGATTACAAAACAAATAAACATGTACACAAAGTCGCAACTGTTTTTGACCCGGCATCAGGGCGAAAAATGGAGCTGTGGAGTAACAAGCCCGGAGTACAGTTCTACACCAGCAACATGTTGAATACCACAAAAGGAAAAGATGGTGCAACTTACCATACATATCAGGCGTTCTGCTTGGAGACTCAAGGGTTTCCAGATTCAGTCAATCATCATAATTTCCCTTCTCAGATTGTTCAGCCTGGAGAAAAGTACAAGCACCTTATGATTTATAGGTTCACAAGTGTTTAGGTCTGTGTTTTGTTTTTTTCTTTGTTTTTTTGGGGGGGTCTAGATGTCACATTACTTTACAAATTTCTATTTTTTTTCTCTACAAATTTCTATTTTTTTTCTCTTTGTTATCAAGATAAAGTTGATTCATCTTTAGGCTGTTAGTTTTTCTAAACCCTTAGGTAAATCAAAGAGAACATCTATTTCATTATTATTATTATTTAGTAAAGTGAAATATTTTTCCATTACGAGGTATTGTTGACACAACTAACTAAATGAAAATATATTTATCATAATGGATATGCAGTAAAAGTGTATAATAAAAACTCCTTAAATTAACACTATATAATTTAATAAATTCTATTAAATAATATCTTATATTATTTAATAATACTTTCTTGGGTCTCAATTTGGGACCTGTATAAAAATTAAACAAAATCAATAAACTCACAAACTAATAAATTTTCAGAAAATATCTTATATAAATATAGGTCCCCTAATACTCATAAATTAATAACGATATAAAATAAAAAAAATATAAAGAAGGTTTCACAAAGTAGGAAACTATTGAGTTTTGTTTTTCTTGAAATTTATGTGTAAGAAAATTTGATCTTTAATTTTCCCTCCAACTAGTAAATAAATATAATCTATTATCTATAACCCCTATTATAACAAAAACCATTTTTCTCATAAAAATCCAAGTGTCATTATTTCCTTAAAAGTCTCCTCTCCCAATTTTTCTAAAAAAAAAACACAAAAAAATTAAAAAATAAATAAAAATCCAAATGGCGTTTTATACAGCATAATATAGAACTCATAAGGGTAGTTTGCCATTGTCAAAAATAAAAAAATAAAACATGCTCTAATTTTCATTCAAGTGTACATCTAATTGCAGGAAAAAAACAATTAAAAAAAATTAAAAAATTCAAAGCCAGTTTTCTCCAGTGCCTTTTCATTATCAAAATGATGGCAATTATAACGAAGGCTATAGTGAAATTATATACCAATATGTTCATTTGTCAGTTTAGACGGCCATTAATTAAATTAGTAAATAATCATGATGTAGTCTATATTGTGTAAGGGTTTTTCTACTGACAGTGTCAAGTTAATGAACACGATGGTAGTTTCGGGAAAAAAGCTATAAGAAAACTGAAAACTATTTGACATTAAATGAAATATATTTATTATAAAAATATTTTTAGGTTGTTTACTAATCTTAAAAAAAAAAATCGAGACTGCATTCATGGTTCAACTACTTTGAACATGTATCCAGCTAACCTTTATTAAAATCTTTTTAAAATTGATTATATGAAATTTCAATGTCAAACCCGTGCGAGTGCACGGGTCCAAAACCTAGTAATACATTAATATAGAAACCAGTGAGAGAAACAAAGGAGCAATACTACAACGCTACGTAGGAAAAAAATCCTATGTGGCAAAATCTAAAGATTATGAAAAAATAACTTACTAAATTTATGGTTCAACACCTTAAAAAATTTAAAAATATTTATATTACCCCTAACTATATATTAATTCTGTAATAAATGATATAGGTTTTTAGGCAATAATTACGAGAATATTTATCATATAATAGTTACCTAAAATGACTCATTTCAATTTTACCACATATTTTGATTCTTTTAATTTATAATAACATCTTACCTTTTGAATTCAAGTTTTATTGCTTATTAATTACAAAGAGAAGATAAACAATTTTTAAAAAGTTTCAAAATTCAAAAGGTAAACACCTAATCTATTCCCAATAATTCGGAAACGTCCCACCCAAAATCCTAAATTAAATATATATATTCCCAAATCACATGTTGCCTAGAACCTACCCATCATATGAGTTTTTTAAAAAAAAAACAAAAAATTTGTTGTCAGGTCAAAAAGGAGGAAAAAAAAATGTGTAACCCGTTTTTATCATGTGATTTGTGTGAATAGTAATACTCCATATGCAATCAGGTAGCGTTTTGATTTTTATGTTTTATTATTTTTGGTCTTTGGGTTCGTTTCATTGTTTCAAATATAAAAGATATGATTAATTGCGAAAAAATAACCTTTTTTGCTTTTAAGAAGAAGACGCATGGTTGAAGCATTCGGAAGGACGAAGAAACATGATGTGATAACTATTTTGGACTACATTTATGCTTTTAAATGTAGGTGGATGAGGAAAAAGATCATGACATGAACCAGGGGACAAAGGTTGATAACATGGTGGCAGTTTAAAGTTAATTCCAGGGGCAATATATCCATTTCAGCCGTAAAAGATTCATCTTCGTTATTCACATGTCTGGAGGGCTGAAAGTTTCTGTTTTTGCCACAATACACATACCAGAAATTGAAATAGTGTATTTCTCTAGGGTTTGCAACTTCATTTCTATACCATATTGCTTATAATTTCTTATGTTTGTTTTGATTAAGTTAATAAACATTTCTAATGAGATTTCTAATAATAATAATTTCTTTTCACGAGACAGATCACTGATTTTATGATATTTTTTTAGTACTTTTTTCCTTAATGAAACCAGATCTAAGCCAATTCCTAAAACTGTGATGATGATTAATCAAATTCCTTAAAATACCCATTTATAATTTTAATATGAAATCTCTATGTCCAATAAACTTGATGTGAAACAAAGTTCAATTGATCAAATATCTAAATTATTTATTCATTTTTTTCATTGAAAAAATCAATAAAATAGTATATGTAACTTATCTTATATTCACTTTTCCTCTTATACTCCATGCCATGATTTTACATCAGTGTAAATCCTATATAAAAAAAATTATAAAAGTATATCAATAATCCCGTGCATCACACGGGCGTTACATCTAGTAGGATCATAAAAACATTAAATTATTAAATAATAATTTCTTCGGTCTCAATTTGGGACCCGTACAGAAATTTATCAAAATCAATAAAATCATAAAATAATAAATTTTCAAAAAACTTTTATATAAATATAGATCCCCCTAAAACTCATAATAATGACATAAAATACAAAAAAAAAAAAAACAAAGAAGGTTAAACAAAGTAGGAAACTATTGAGTTTTGTTTTCTTAAAATTTACGTGTAAGAAAATTCGATCTTTAATTTTCCCTCCAACCAGTAAATAAACATAATAGGATCATAACACATTGGGAATAGGACTCAAATTGTGTTTTTTTTTTCCAAAAGAACTGAAAAAAAAACCCTTAGATTAACGAAATATTAATTTATCGATAAAATAATCATATCTATAAATTAATAATTTTTTATAGGGCCCAACATTATCTATAGTTGGATTAGCATTATTTTTTAACCAAACTCATCAACCTTGTCAAAACAGAACCTTATTTGGATCTTCAATTCTAATTACCTTTGGTGAAGATACAATGGCAACTTTACTGTCGGCCGGAACATCGACTAATTTCACGGCATTCAAATTTTTTCTTTGACCAATGTACTGAAACCATTATTAAATATGTTTTTAGGCCATTGTTTTTACTTGCATTGAGCAATTTCCAAGTACATATCTTTGTTAGCATTCTTGAGATTTTGACCCCATGACATGCTTTTCTAAAGTAACCAACTCATGGTGGTGAGAAATGATGCTAGCCAAAATCAAAATGGACTAATAAGGGATCATGTTCATCTTCATCATGTAATAATGGAAGGAGTTGGTGGATAATGAAATTTCACCTTAAATTTGATGAAGAAAATAAGACGATGATTATCGCATTAAGGACGGACATATATATAATTATAGTTCAACCGACTGAATAGTTCAATTACGCAGTAACAACCATAGAACAAATTAAATTGGAACAAATATAACCGATAGACTAAAACAATTGTGTATTAAAGATGGTGGAAGTCGGAACATTGAATAATTGCCCACTAACCTGCAAACTGCAATCAAAGAATGATATTAGCCGAAAAAATAATAAAACAACTAAAATCTGCTTGATGAGTTATAGATTTTAACTCATTAACCATCATCTCAAGAAGACACGCGCATACAAAAATACCAATTTAACTATAGCCTTGATGAGTTTATTGATTTTTTCTCCGGATTATCTGGCTTGAAGACAAATCCAAATAAGAACATCATCTTATTTCTTATAAGGTTGTAAATGGATAGTAAGTTTTGAGGAGTATAGCTGGTTTCCAGGAAAGAAAACTGCCAATGCGATAGTTAGGAGTTCCTCTAAATTATCTCTAACTTCTAAATTATGTATCTCTAACTGTGGTCCTTTGATAAAGCAGGTGGAGGATCACATAGGTTCTTGGGCCGATAAGTCACTTTCTTATGCATAGAGACTTCAAATGTTAAAGTCAGTTGTTTCATCTATTCATATTTATTTATAGGGCATGAGTATTCCTTTTCACTTTATTCTATACTTCAAGAGGTCGAGAATACAAGATGAGAAGATGGAAGGGGTCAGGGAGCTCTGGGTATGCAAGGGTAGATTGGAAGTCTGTTTGGTTTAAGGAGAAACGGTTTAGGTATTGCTCCTTTGATAGCAACCAATCAAATTCTCATGGTCAAATTACATACCCAGGCTATTATTTCTGCAGATGATAACTTGATATGGGTGAAGTGGGTGATGCAAAATAAAAATTAAAAATCTGTCCTACGGGAATAATCTATTCCCACTTCTTGTTCATGGAGTTGGAGGCACATTTTCAAGTTACGACTGAAGGTATGTCAGTTTTTCCAATATAAAGTTGGTAATGGTAACAAGTTTCTCTTATAGCTCGATCCTTAGCATCCATTTGGTTGCTTGGGATGTACTATCTTGAGCTATTACAATCTTTGGAAAGTAATGGGTGTCGAAATCCCCAAAATAAAATCAACTTAAAATTATAGATAGCACTAAGTTGGGTCAATTCCACAGAGGCAGGTGAAACTTCCTAATAACCTGACAACTAGCAAGAACTCAACAATTGAATAGAAAACCAATGACTTTCGTGTGGGGTAAATACGACTTCACAAAGTGTTGGAAACCTAAGGTCTTCCTCCACTCTCCTCTATTTAGTTAAGTTATGAATTTGCACTTTTATAGTATGAACTTGTGCTTGATTAGACTCTGATTTACCTTAAGGCTACTTCTAATTTTCCATGACTAGACTTTGCAAGATTAAACATACTATCCTCTGATGAAAGTTCGATTTACTTGTGATGAAAGTTCAATTTACAAAGCCATTAGTTCTTACTTCTTAGGTCTTTTAATTTGTGGCCACTCATGCCAATTAGGTATA